GCTGATGTTAGGAAAATTTAAAAAGTAGGTCTTATAAAGAGCTTGGTTGCAGAAAGTATTGGAGGCATAGGTATATTACTTTTTAAAAGTAGTGCATACACATAAGAAATGAAAAATGATAATGGATTACTCCAGAGGTTTATTTTTGGTTTTGTGTAGCCATCATACTGTGCACCCTTTGCTCTTAGGTGCTCAGATATACGCTGCATGAGAGCTCTGATCGCATAATGAGGCCAGGGGCACGCTGGGCTGTGGCTGCTCTCCCAAATCCCTCATTTTGATGGAATCAAGCATTTCTTTTAATATGATTCTATGGTAATTTTATTTAGGTCATTTTTCTAAGATAAAAAGCAATGGATTATTGTTTTAAAAGATTGTCATCCCTTAAGCTCCTTTAGCCCAGAAGTTTCCCTGAATGAAATTTCACAGTTGCCATGTAGTAGCACAGGCTGCAAAAGAGAATCTGGGCCGGCTGCTCCTGCGAGCTGTTGTTCTCGCCATACATAATGCCCTTAGCTGTGTCTTTTGCACTCATTTTAACATCTTTTCACAGTACTTATCTCTCCTATGGAGATGTCATAATGTGAATTATGAATGTGTTGTCACAGTGAAGCATATTGTGGATTAGGTATAGCTTGTATAATATTTCAAGGTACCCTACTGCCTACATAATATTGACAGATTGGTAAGCACCCAAAAAAGTAATAAGACCATGATTAAGACGCTGAAAGAACTAAGAGAATTATGAAAAATAAGAGAATAGCCCTGGCCAGTGGCTCAATTGACTAGAGTGTCATCCTGTGCACTAAAGTGTCCCGGGTTTGACTCCTAGTCAGGGCATGTACTAGAGGCAACTGATTGTTCCTCTTTCACATCAGTGTTTCTCAATCTCTCTCTCTCTCTCTCTCTCTCTCTCTCTCTCTCTCTCTCTCTCTCTCATCAATAAAAACCTTTTCCTGGGGTGAGGATTTAAAAAAATAAGAGAATGCATAAAACATCAGGAGAAACACTAAATTATCATGGCTGTAGAAAAGCTAAAAGAGCTAAGAGGAAAAATATATGAGCTACAAAATGAGATCAGTTACAAGGGAAACTTTAAAAGGAAAATTAATTTATTGAAAAATTGTATCACTTGATTTTCTTCCATTACATGCTTTAGCTTATAAATGGGTTAGGTAATATTCCATAGGGAATGTCCTGTGTCTGTGTGTGTGTGTGTGTTTAAGCCAAAAATGGAACACTAACATTTTGAGCATTTATAGTTTAACTCTACTTATCTTTTAAAAAGAACATTTTGACATTATCTGCATAAGATTTATGAATTTTGAACAAGTTTGTGCAAGACTTTGTCCAAAGCTTCTTGGTCCCCCAAAGGACATTAATACAAAGCAGAATTTATGGGCTGTGGTGTTTCTTTTTAAAGCCAAGGAGAGAGTTAGTTCTAAAGTGAATAAAATTTCAGACAAGGAGCATTTGTATTTTAGTTTTACATTATTTCTGGACTTAGTTATTGGCAAGATTTAATAGTGGGCACAGATCATTTTAGCAATGTATAAAAATCTTTTTATCATACTGAAGAATTGTACTTTTAACAGAATATCAATGCTATGTGCTGTAAACCTTGAAAAATGTCAGTCATAGAAAAAACAAGAAGACATAGAGGTTTAAAATTAAATGTTACACTCTGAAGAAACATATCAAACTTTCTTCTCTTTCCTCCTATCTTATTTCTTCTTTTTTTTTAATCTTTCCTCTTATCAACAAGTCATAAACTTTTCTTGGAATGCAGCAAATTAAACACATTTACGTAAGATCTTAAATATTATCTAATCTGTACTTAATGCCTTTTAAAGCTGTTGTTTTCGCTATCATCATAACTAAAACTATCCCCACATCGCAGATTGCCTTGATACATTTGATAATTCTCACAGTCCTCTTTGTGTCTAAATATTGATCTGCATCTTATAAAGTAGTAAAAACTAGAAACTTGAAAGTCTCATCAGATGAGAGCATATTATATTTGATACTATTCCATTTCTGTACATGACTTATGTTTTAAAATGTCTTCAACGTAGTACAAAGAAGGCCTCGGTTTGATAGACTTTTCAAATATATGTATATGCTTGTTTTTGTGGCTTTGAGGCTCTACTTTATGGTGTCTTATCCATTATCATTAATTCCTCTTATTTGAATACACAATATAAAGCTAAAAAGGCTAAATATTTTAATTGCCCTGTGTGGAGGTGAGGATGTTGTTTGGCTTTTGGGTATAAGTGAAAGAGCATTAAGATAATCCTTGGTGTGGAATAAAAGTCTGGGTCCCTCCTGACCTTTCTGAATATTCTCCCAGCTTCTAATAGATTCTATTTCAGGGACCGTTTCTATTGATTGTTTTCTCTTTGAATGAACCACACCTTTCTGTGAATTTTTGTTTGAAACTGGACATTTGAACCTAATAATGTGGTAACTCTGGGAATCAAATTATTTTTCTACCTCAGGGTTTGCTAGGTTTGGTTATTGTTTTGTTTTGATTTGTTTTGTTTTGTTTTGTTGTGTTGTGTTGTGTTGTGTTGTGTTGTGTTTTTATTGCTGCAGGCTGTCTCTGTATTGAGGTTCAGTTTGAAGTGTGAACTTAAGGTCTTCTCAAGTCTATCCTGAGCCTTTCTCTGGGTGCGCACTGTCACTTTTAAATTTTCCCCTTATACATAGTTGTTTTTGAGTGTTCTGCTTGTTCATATCTGGCTCTGAAAAGGGGAAAATGACAAAAGTAAAAGGGGAAGCAATAAGAAGCGTGATGCCTCTTTTTATCTTTTTTAATGGTTTTTTATTGACTTTAGAGAGAGAGAGAGGAAATATAGAGAGAGAAACATCAACTGGCTGCCTCCTGCACACCCCCTTCTGGGGATCAAGCCTGCAACCTGGGCATGTGCCCTGACCTGCAATCGAACCAGCAACCTTTCAGCGCACAGTATGATGCCCAGCCAACTCAGCCACACTTGCCAGGGCAGAAGAATGCTGGCTCTTCAAATCCCTTGGAATTCAGTCAACCAAAGGGGAAGAGGCTTGCAATCATGCGGGAGGTGCAACAACAATGACTGCCTGTCTTTCTGTGTGCACCTCTGTGAGCAGAAGCACTAATCAGTGATCAATACACATGCACAGCTGCCTGTCACATGGTTCAGGGGTGAAGAATAGGTGGCTACTACTGTGCTAAGAGCTGAAATTGACTGAAATTAACCACAATTTATGGTCTAAGCCTTACCTGGTAAGTTGAAGGCCTTCAATATAGTCCAGAGTTCCAAAATAGCTATGGGAGACCAGCGATTTCCAACCTTCTTCATCTCATGGTACACATAAACTAATTACTAAAATGCCATGGCACACCAAAAAATATATTTTTGCAACTCTGAAAAAGTACATATAGTTTTGATTCATTCACACCAGATGACTGTTGTTGTATTGACTGTTGTCATTATTTTTAATTTAACAATCTAAGAGAAAAGAAGTCAAGTGTCCCTGACTAAATAGTCAGGTATTGAATGTTTTAAAAATTCTTGTGGCACATCAGTGTGCCTGCCCCGGCACACTGTTTGAAAATCACTGCCTTAGATTCTGCCAGTGCAATTGTTATCTAGGTGGGGAGACAGAGTCCTGATACTTTACTGCCATCTTCCTAGAATTCTCCCAGTAAATGACTTTTTATAGAATGAATTACTCTTTACATTGTACATTCTTTCACTAATGAATTTCTGCTAGGTAAGGGAAAGCTTTAGGGTTTTAGTCTTTATTTGATTTGGAGAAAGATTACTGAATAACAATAAGGATCTCAAGCAGAGAAAACAAACAATAGCAACATCAAAGGAAGGGTGGGAAAATTGGGGAGGTCAAGTTCCTTTGATTTATCTAGAATTCTGTTATTTAGCATTCACCACACATTCTGATAGGCAGTCATATTTTTTGTATTAAAATTTTTTAAAAAAGAAATTGGTGCTTATTAAATGAGATTTAATAGACAAAAAATCGTTAAAACATAGAGGCAAATGGTGAAAATAACAAAGACATAAATTGGTAACAAAATGATTAGGAATCACTGTTCTAAAACTTCTATGACTCTTAATGAATTTTCTCACTCAAAAATACCAGTTTTATTTTGCACTAAGATACGGTTACCTGCTGCACATAATTTAAAAAGATCTCTAGATGCCCGTGTAGTCATCAAAGATTACAGACTTTTAGAACAAGATAATACTTTATAGATTACTTTTATTTGGTTGATTGACTTTAACTTGGAAAGTTATTACTTTAGAAATTCAGAAATACCTCTCTGAAAATGAGTATTATGGTGGAAAGCATCTCAGTAAGAGTTAGAGAAATTTGTATTGGTCTGTGGCATAGTAGGATATTTTTATATGCTGTGCGTTCCCTTTAGATAGTGATAAAACTATTTGAGGGTCATTTAGCTTCCATCTGTTATACTTTTAAAGAGCATTGCAGTTTAAGACAGATTTTGAAAATTATCCTTTGAACTTATGCAGACTTTCTGAAAATACCTGTATAGTCACAAAAACATGTCTAATACTCTTCAATTTAAAATTTCCACAAGAAAATGAAAGAGAAGGTTTCGAAAAGTAATCAATTTTCCCGTAGGTAAAAGGGCCAGTGGTTTAATGAGAAAATTCAAAGTTAAGGTTATTATATAGTTAGAGTTTTAGATTTTCTGGAGTACTTTTAGAACAAAGGCTATTGATCTTGCTTATTGAACTATAAATTATGACACAATTATAAATATAACTTTAATCACTAATAGTATGGATTTTTTTATTGCCCAAATAAAGAGCATCTAACTTCTAAAACGGGTGTTATGGAAAAGAAAAGTTGCACAGGAAGTAAAATAAAAATACCCAACAGTACTTTACTTAAAATCTAAATATTCCTTCTAATGAAAATTCACACTTAAGAGTACACACCTGAATGTCCTGACAGCTGTGTTGTTCTCTCAGCCTCCACAGATGACAGTGCAGCCGAGAAGAAAGGGGGAACCCTGCATGCTGGCCTCATTGTTGGAATCCTCATCCTGGTCCTCATTATAGCAGCAGCCATTCTTGTGACAGTCTACATGTATCACCACCCAACATCAGCAGCCAGCATCTTCTTTATTGAGGTAAGTTGCGAGTATTACACATACGACCATACTAATTTACAAACTCTCTCCATTTGCTAACATCACCTGTATTTAATATTTTGCACATTATTTCTCCACTTTGCAGTTGGGAGCTGGCTGATTTCTCTCTCTCTCTCTCTCTCTCTCTCTCTCTCTCTCTCTCTCTCACACACACACACACACACACACACACACACACACACACACACACATATTGATAGATTGCTTTCATGTGATGAGTTCAGTTATCTCATCTCAGGAGTTTTTAAAGAAATAACCTATCTTGCTTTTCACAGATCTAAAGGAAAATGGAAACCATACTTTTTTATCCTTTTATACCCAATATGCTAACCAGCTGTTCTCCTGATTCTAGAAGGAAATGCAGCATATGCTGGAGGCTAAAGAGCTTTTCTTAAATCAGTTAATCAATAAATGCTAATTAAGTTCTGGCAGCATGCAAGTTACTATAGGGTGGCCCTGCTCTCAAAATGCTCATGAACTATTCAGGAAAAATAATAGCTTTATATTATAACAGATATAACGATAATATAATGGTATGGGCCATCACAACTTTGTGTAATGATGTGTATTTTTATATTTATACTAGTGGCCCAGTGCACGAATTTGTGCACATTGAAAGGAAATTAATTAGAAGAAATATTTTAATATTGCTATTCGCCCTTTCTCTCAACCAAATTCACGATTGACAATGACAGATCGAAACACACACATGCGAATGGTGCCAGCGAGAGTTTTATATGTATCTCACATGCATGAGTCAACTTAGCCTTTTATAGATATAGAACAAACTTGCTTAATTAGACCTGCTTTCTGATTTAGCTAAACTTTTTCCAGCCCAGTGAAGCACCCCAACTTCTCTTTCGTGTAATTGTCAGCAACACAGCAGTAAATATCAACACAAAGCAGATTATTATTGTAGAACACGCAGGGAGAACAAAGGGTAAAATATTTAGCTGCAGCAGTGTTTGACTATATTCTGCACAGTGAGAAAACCTAAAGTCATTTTTAAGTTCCACCATTTCTTACTTCTTTTCAGTCAGGTCAAGTTTCTAAGCTTTCTAAATCTACGTTTTCTGGCTAATGAAAAGAAAATAGGATTCCACCAAGTCTCCTATCTACCTTCTCCAGGACTTCTGCTCTGTGAGGATCAAATGAGATGAGGCACGGGAAAACGCTTCACAGACATTTGTTTAAAGTGTAAAATGTTTCCACCTGGCTATAAAGCAAGTCATGTTCCTGGACTGAAGAAACTGCAAGGAAGCTAGTTGCTAGGGAGAGGAAGCTGGGCACTGCTATGTGATGTCATTACCTGGACAGACACTTAGCATATTAGCCTTTTATATACATAGACTAGAGGCCCGGTTCATGAAATTCATGCACGGGTGCAGTCCCTAGGCCTGGCTGGCGATTGAAGCATGAGCATCTGGTGTGGAAGGGCAAGTCCCAGATAACCTCTGGGCCCTGGGCAGCACCTGGGCCCCCAAGCCCCAGCGTGCCCCTGCCACCTGAGTCACAGTGCCCAAGTCCCCAAACGGAGATGTGGTGAGCACAGCTGGATGCCATGGTCCGGGGCACAGCATGGGCCTCTTGGCTACCCAGTGCCACAGCACAGAAGTTGGGCAGGCAGCGCGCTCGCTCCTGGTCGGCCTCGCAGACTGGCTCCTGTGTAAACCCACGGGGATCCTGACTGGCTCCTGAGGCCCCGGCAGTTGTGGCCCAGCTCACCCAGAAGAGGCCACACGGGTACCAGGCAGGCTTCTCATTGGTGCCTGGCACCTGAGCACAGGAGCTTCCCTGGCACGTAAGCCCTGACATCCTGGGGGAGGGTAGCAGGGGGAGTGAGAGTGAGATCAGTGGACACCCCACATTCTCACTGCACCTCTGTCCTCATCACCCCCGCCCCCAGGTAGCCAATGAGAGGTCACAGCATGTCGCCAATGCCCACCATGTTCCGCGCTGCCCCCTAGTGGTCAGCACACATCATAGCAAGCAGTCAAACTCCTGGTCAAAGGGACAATTTGCATATTAGGCTTTTATTATATAGGATATAGATGTGTATGTGTGTGTGTGCGTGCACGTACACACGCACACACATACACTCATACAATCACAAAAAATAGCACCATGGTGAATCAGTGTTGTGTTCCTATGCATAGAATATAGATTTGGAGCCAGTGCCCTGGATCATTCAGGTGAAGGACCGTGGTCTGAGTATAAAGGGCTACAACCAAATCCTGTTGGCCAGAGGCCTGAACTGGGAAGGCTGGAGCCCATAGGATAAAGTTGAGGTGACCAAGTCACCTTCTATCCTCCAGATGAGTGAGCTTCCCAAGCCCCCTCTGTGTGCAGCTTTCATTCCAACATCTTAATAGGCTCACTGCTCTTCCAACACCAAATAAATACTAGAGCAATAAAGGAAATCTTTCCCTTCAGAGTTTCAAACATGTAAAGTTTAAATATTTTCTAATTCATAGATTGATAAACAGAAAGGTTCCCTAGAATTTTGTTCACTTGTTGAATAAGAAATTATAATTCCTTTTAAAGTACAGAGTCAAAATTACCTTTGTTTCCTTTAAAAAAGAGAGGTGAATGAAAAGACAATTAAATAATTGCTCAGAAGCCCTATATGGCTCTCTACTGTCCGTAGAACCAAGTGCAGCTTCTTTAGGTCGGCATTCAAGGCCTTGGAGAACTGGATCTTGCCCATCTTTTCAGTCTGTAACCCATGGCTCCCCAACTTGAAGTTGAGAGTGCCATCAGATTTCACGCTTTGCTCTTCTCCTTGCACACCCCAAATTTTCCTTGCCACCAAGGCATTGCTTATTCTGTTTCCTCTACCAAGAAAGCCCCCCACTTCCACCTCAGTTCTTAAATTTAAGATTCGAACAGCCTCCAATGCTATGTACCCTGTATGCTTCCCTGAACCATCTCTTTCTGGACAGCTGGGCATAATCTATTTCTCCTCTGAGATTCTGTCCATTGTAATATAATTGTATCTTTCTCCTGCGTTTACTTTTCTGTTCTGTATTAAAGTAAAGTATGCACATGATTTATTGCACCCTACAGATTTCTAAGTTCTGTAGGATTTGGAGTAAATCACTTAAGTTTCTTTCAAATAAGAGGTATCCCATTAATATTCCTGGGGAAAAAGTATACTAGGGCATTTCAAGATTCCACTAAAAATTTACATATGACATATTCTAGAAATAGCATCTTGTTTAAAATCATAAGAATGGAGAAATTATCAGGCACTGCACTTAGTTGGAAAGCTGTTAAGTGTTGTTAATGTACTGGATTTTCACAGAAGGAAGCAGAAAGCTTCCCCGAGGTCATGAATGCATGCCTCAGAGAGCTGACAAGTGACAAGCTGTAAAGCTTCAGCAACTAACCAGACAACAGGCTGCTGCTGTAACCCCTCAGATGTTAAAGCCTTTTAATACGCTGTGCAGGGTATTTTCTGACATCGTAAAAAGGAAGATACTGTGAAATATCTGATGGTGATGGTATGAGCGGAAAATTGCACAGTGCAAAAGACCTGCTTTACACAGCAGCCCTGTATGAATAAAAAATGAGACCATAGAATAGTGAAAGTATTTTTCTGGCATTTGCCTTTTTTAATCAGTCTTATTGTTTTATAATCAGAGCCTAGATGTCCATGTGTTTGTGTGAATACTTACACATGCGCATATTTATAGAATGTTTAGAAGGACAGATAGAGATAATTTGGTCCTCTTCCCTCATAACACAAAAGAAGAGACCACGGCTCTGAGTGGCGGAAGACTTCCCCAATGTCAACGAGCCGTAGCTCTGGGAAGAACTGTCTTGTCTTTCCACACTCTAGTGAAGCTGAGTCATTCTGCAGATTCCCAGCTTTTCCCTCTTGGCCTTTTTTCCTTCCAACTGAGTCAACTATCAGTGTCTACTTAAATCATTACCTCTCTGACACCCTGCTGTCCTCATGCAGCTCCCAGGGGCTGCTCAGTGGATGATTTTTAAAGGTGATAATTATAACTTTACTATTATTCAGGCTGACCCATGTTTGCAAAACAAAATACAGGTTCATGATGACTGCATAGTTAGTGAAATAACAGATCTATGAATTTGAAGGCTTTGAATAACCAATAATTTTTAATATATTTTTATTGATTTCAGAGAAGAAGGGAGAGGGAGAGAGAGATAAGAACATCAATGATGAGAGAGAATAATTAACCAGATGCCTCCTGCATGCTCTACACTAGGGATCAAGCCTACAACCCATGCCCTCCTGGTTCATGGCTCAATGCTCAACCACTGAGCAACACTGGTCGGGCTGAATTACCAATTAAATGAGATTTATTTGTGTATAAAGAGATGGAATGCACCAATATTGTATAAATTGCTTTTTTATCCCATATTATACATCTAAATTTTAAATAAAATTGATGTACTTTTTTGCATTATGAAAACAATACCTGTTCATTATAGAAAATTTGCAGAAATGTAAAAAGAAGATAAAAAGAGTCATTTACAGTCCCAACATGCAGGAACAATCACTCTTACTATTTTAATTTGTTTTCTTTTGGATTTCTTATATGCATAATTTGATATTTGCCCATTTAATATAACTGTGATGTCACTGAAATGCAAATTGACATTCTTTTCTTATCAAATAACATTTTCCTATTTTACTAACTCTTTGTAAACATCTTTATAATGGCTGTATACTATTTCATTCAGCATTCACTCCGTAGCTCTGCATTGATTGCCTTTTATGCTAAGTGGCAATTCAGAAAGCACTGAGGGCGTAACATTGCCTATTAAGTAAAAGAGAAGCTTGTTTCGGCCACTTTAAGACTGTGTATTAGTTTCCTGTTGCTGCTAGTAGCTTAAAGCAGTACACAATTATTATCCTACAGCTCTGGAAGTTAGAGTCTACAACAAGTCTCACTGAGACAAAGTCAGAGGTGTCAGCAGGGCTGGTTCCTTCCAGAGGCTTCAGG